AAAAGAAGGGCAACATGTAGTCGATGTGTAGGCAAAGACTGCAGTTACAAGATCCCCTCACATAACCTTGACTAAGAAAGTTGAGATGTTTGCTATGAGTCTGGATTTCTCTATATGTACATGAGATCAAGGCATGTCATTGTATTTTGAGAATATTTGCTGAATTAGAATGTATTCCACGAACAAAGAAACCAGTAGCAGAAATTCTCTATCCAGCATATTTAAAATTTACTATTTATTTATTTATTTATTTATTTATTTATATTTGTCAATTGCTTACAAGATAATAGGTATAAGTAAAAACATAGTTATGAATACATGGATACATATAAGAAAAATAAAAAATATATTAAAAAATATAAAAGAAACAATAGGACTGGGATGGTAGGCACGTTGGTGCGCTTATGTACGCCCCCTACAGACCTCTTAGGAAATGGGTGAGGTCAATAGTAGACAGTCTAAGGTTAAAGTTTTCGGGGTTTGGGGAAGAAACCACAGAGTCAGGTAGAGTATTCCAGACATTGACCACTCTGTTGCTGAAGTCGTATTTCCTGCTATCAAGTTTGGTGCGATTAACCTTGAGTTTGTATCTATTGTGTGCTCTTGTGTTGTTATGGTTGAAGCTGAAGTATTCATTGACAGGTAAGTCATTGCAATGTATGATTTTATATACCATACTTAGATCAGACCGAAGATGGCGTAATTCAAGGTTTTCTAGGTCTAGAATTTCAAATCTGGTGGCATAAGGTATTCTACAACGGGTAGAGGAGTGGAGAACTCTTCTTGTGAAATATTTCTGGACTTTCTCAACTGTGCTAATATCAGATATGTAATGTGGGTTCCAGACTGATGAGCTGTATTCAAGTATTGGTCTAGCAAATGTTTTGTATGCTCTAGTTAGTAATGTAATATTACCAGAGAAAAAGCTACGTAAGATTAGGTTAACAACTCTTAATGCCTTTTTGGCTATGTAGTTACAGTGGGCTCTAGCACTTAGATCATTTGAGATGAGTACTCCAAGATCCTTGACAGAGTTTGGATTGACTATTCAACCTGTATTATATTTTCTGGTTTTTTTTGCCAATATGTAGGACAGAGCATTTATTTGTTGAGATTTGAAGTTGCCATTTGTTTGACCATTCTGATACATAGTCAAGGTCTTTTTGAAGGGTAGCAGTATTGTCTGTGGTGTTGAATAGCTTTACGTCATCAGCAAAGAGAATGCAGTTGCTCTTGATATGATCATAGAGGTCATTTACATAGAGTATGAAAAGAGTTGGTGCTAGAACACTGCCTTGGGGGACACCACTGTTGACTATCTAGCATCTTCAGTTAAAAAGCTGAAAAACAGAAAGGTTAGAGGTTTGCCACTGGAGCCATCAAAGGAGATGGGGAGAGAGTGTGTGTGTGTGACAAAATGTGCATTGTAACATAAACAGTCTCTTTCATGTACATGTATGCAAGAGACATATAATAAATACTTACATGTCTTCTTTACCTATCATACTAACTATATGATTTAAATAAAAGTTATAACATAATACATGTGTTCAGGACTGCTTGGGGTGCAACAAATATTTCCTCAAAAAATCATTTTACCAGTTGTGACTATTTTGTCATCTCATTCATAGAATAAGATTTAACTCAGAAAAAGTTATTTTACCTTTTTTTTCAAAATTACCTCAGAAGGATTCCTTAATGGGCCACCTGAGAAAGGGGTTTTAAGCTACTTTACAAAACATTTTAATTCAAAATATACTGTTAAATGATAACATGTTAAGTCCACATATCACAAATTAAAACTGTCTTTTTTTTTTAAACATACCAGGCCACTGTGCACCCAGGAAATTTGAGAGTCTCAGCTAAATAAGTAAGCAAACAACTATGTCAAATTTGATTGATTTGGATCTATGGATAGAGCTCCAATAAATCAACAGGGATTTATGAGTCCCAATTGTTTAACAATCGCAAAAGGAATGGAACTGTACTCTTTACTATCACCTTGAAAAGTGTGTTTAAAAGGGGGAGCTAAAAACAGCAGTAAGGGAAGTAAAGTCCAGTTCACTCAAAACTATATTAGTTACATTACAAGCTCAATCCTCTTAACTGTCATTTTTCTAAAGATACACATGGGACCTTGGTGGGATCCAGAGTTATTTTTGAGACAGAAAAAGGCAGATATTTTGTTTTGCAATATGCACAATTCTCTTTTTTAATTAAAAGAATGATTTCAAAGAAGGAGGGGAAGGGGAAGGAAAGGAAAGGATAAGCTCTCATCAACTGGGACATAGAGTTTGATGGCTAGCAGGGGGAGGGTGTTGAGGGTATCCATAGTCCTGACATTGTATATTCATGCTTACAGGACTTTAGAAACTGGACAAGCACAAGTTTAAGATAAATCCCATTAAAAATTTGCTAAATAGAGCTGCTTTATTGCTTGCTATACTTTGTAGGCAGAGTATCAGATAAATGGCTTGGCATTGATCCAGTGGTTTAAATACATCTTAAACTTTAAACTTTAATGCTTTCAGCAGGAGGAAGATTCTACAAAATAGTTTATAGGAATAGCAAGTTTTTGCTACCTAGACCTCAGTGCTATAAGAGGCTTTGCTTCAGACAAAGAGCTTGTCATTTGCTGTAGCCCAGTTGCAAATAGAGACGATGTGGCTTCTCTCTGCTTGTGACAGAACACGAATAAATGATTAATCACAAATTCATTCACCAGGCTTCCAACCTGAAGAACTCCAGAAAACAAAGATTAGCTGTCTCAGATGGCCCATTCGTGTGTGCCATTCGTGTGTGCCTAAAAACAATGTCAGCTCCTTTGCTCTCATTGTTTTTTTGTTTTTTGTTTTAAATTCTCTGCTGCTGCTGCTGCTGCTGCTGCTGCTTCACGTTTTAGGGAGTGAGGTAAAACTGGAGGGGAAATCTTAACTATTGTTATGAGAGAGACAGGAAAATGTTCAGGCTTCAAATCCATCTTTGCACAGATGACCTTTAACGGATAATCATCTGGAGGGGAAACACTGAGGGTTGTGCAAAAGGCCAGGTCCTCCTATGATCTCAGTGACATGGTTGGCTTTCTTTGGAACCAGAGAATCCTAAGCTTCTTTTTAAGCCCTGTCTCAAAGTCAGGCGTTACATTTGGGGTCTTAAACAGATGGATGAAGAATACATTGTAGTCTGATTGCTATTTTTAGTTATAGTTTGTTTTCTTCATCTCTGAGGATCATATTGTTCATTTCACTTTTCCTCTGAAGAAGTAAAACTTACATGGTTCTACAGTATTTTTCCTCTGAAGAAGTAGAACTTACATGGTTCTACAGCCTCCTCTCTTCCCAGTATAATTCCTATTTATTCAGCATGGGTGACCTTGGACTAGTTTTTCTCTCTCTCAGTCCAATCCACCTCACAGGGTTGTTAATTGTGGGGAAATCAGGAGGGGGAAGCAGCATTAGGTATGTTCACCACCTTGTTATTTATAAAAATAAAAGTGGGATAAAAATATTTAAAACACTATTATGAAGAAGAATCCACACTTTCATTGTTGTCAATATAATTTGTGCTTTTCCATCTACTTTAATAAGATGATGACGTATATTAATCAATTCATGTGGGATTTCAAACAAAGTATTAGATGAATTAGAAAACCCATTGATACGAAGTCCTTGTTCCTTTATAGACCTATTTTAGCCTCACTTATGACTTTTGTGGTCTTTTATTATGAAAAGGAAATTCAATCATACCTACAATTTTGGTGTGGGATTGTATTGGTGGAACAAGTGGTGCAGTGGCCTAGAGGTGGAGCTCTCGCCTCACAATCAGGAGGCTGTGAGTTCGATCCTAGGTAGCAGCAGATATTTCTCTCCATGGGCACAATGAGTAATTATCTGCTGTGAACTCTGCATTGGCAACAGGAAGGGCAGCCAGCCAGTAAACACTCTGCTCCATTCAATTGCCCCGACTCCATCCCGATATAAGTGATTACAGGGTCATTAAAAGACAAAAAAAAAATGTGTTGGTGAAAGGACAAATGGACAAAACAGCATAAGGAGGAGCCCAATAAAGAAAAAGTAATTAATTGATACTGCTAAACTATTTCTACTCTCACCAACTCTCATGTAAAGGTATCTCTGATGAATTCTGATCTATCCAGTGTACTTATAAATAGTGCATATGTAAAAGAAGAATGTTGGATATCTGTTAATTTTGGTTCTACTTGACTGTAGGCTAGTGATTAAGATTTTATGACAATCCCTTTTTCTTTCACCCAGTGCTGGCTAATCTCCAACATAAGCCTGATTAATAATTGCACATAGTTCCTAGAATCAGTGCCACAAAGCCACAGATATTTTAGAATTGGTTTATTGTAAAACACTATGTAAATTATGCAAAACGTTTTGGGAAGTATGCCAAATATTTAAGCTAATGTATTTGACAAAGTTGGCATTGGTCCACACACACAAAAATGTAAGCTATAATAAATTCTAGGCAATGTTGGGTCGTTGTTTTAGGGATATGTCCTTATCTAAACTGATGGGTTAAAAAAAGCAGTGGGACTGCGAGCAACTTTCAACTTCATGTCAGCTTCCCCATTGATTTTTCTTGTGGGAAGCTGGCAAGAGAGTCTTGGAAATGATGATTAGGTGATTGTGGTTGACCGCAGTGGTGCAGCAGTACTGACGCAGCCACAAAATAAGCCAAATTTCAACTTCATAGGTGAAATGGATCCTGGAGTTTGAATGCATTTTTTAAAACTTATCCCATCTCAGGTCTGTTGATTCAAAAAAAATGTTGCTGTATGTTTTGCCCAGTTGAAGATTACAAACAGTAGAGTTTTAGTAATATGCGTGTGAGTTAGCCTCTTGGCTCTTTGATCGGCCTGTCCAATTTTTAGTTTTGCATGGTTTGACTAGCTAGCCACGAGTAGAACTGTTATAAATGAAGAAGATGGACTATGCGTTTTTCTTGCATTTGTCTCTTTTTCCGGAAGAACTTACACTTCTCTTTCCCACATGGCTTTCCAGCAGAGCAGCAAAGGTAGTAGTTGTGAAAAGTATGCATTCATCCAGCCTAAGGTGTAGAATTAGAGGAGCACAGAGCACAGATCATAGGTAGATTATTTTGGGCAACAGCTGACTTGGGACAAAACCTTTAAAAGTAAGAATGTGTTCTTATTTTTGAAAAGGAAAGGAAAACTTAACTTATATCTGAAGATACACTCTATGGGCTGAATTACATTTTTGTAGAGTACTTTTAATGTATTTTTTTTTTTTTTGTAATTCCAGCCCATTACATTTCCCCTTCACCTCAATTACCACTAACAAGGCCCATAGCACTCTCATTCTGCTTCATGTATTCAGAAGCATTTATCACATCTTCTTCAGACTGTTTCCTCTTAGCTTTAGTTGGATTTAAACAACCCAATTCTTAAAAAAATAAAAATAAAAGTTCCATGAGCTAAATTATTCATTTTATTTGTTCATGAATGCAGTTGTTGGGGTAGTTCCTGTACAAAATCTTTTTTGGAATATTGTATAAAAGTATTATTGTACTGTAGACAGTAGCACATGACCAAGTAGATATTTTCTCTCCCCGTCCCATGCACCAATATGTGGCTTTTCTGCGCTCTAATTCCTTGATTGTCCTGAGTCAGAGGTCCCACCTGTCCAGAAATAATAATCAAACAACACTCTTCTTCCCATTTCATCTCGGGTGATCTTTGTATCTTTTGAAATATTTTAAAACAAACAAACATTTCTTTTCTTGGTAAAGAATCCCTAGAGCCACTGAAATGATTCTCAACGTTCTGAAAGCTTTTTGAAATCTGCTATAGGAAAGTAATCAGCCAATCAAAGGTCTCTGCGATCAGATGGAGAATAAACTTTGGGGTTCTTGGTGCTCCCTGAGGTTGGATAGTTCACTTGCAGATGTTTCATCACCAAACAAGGTAACATCATCAGTGCTAATAGGGAGTGGGGTTGCTCTCATTTTACATTAGTGGCTTGCCTTGTTGGTGGAAGCGATATTGGTGGCTTTTTGATTAGGCTGCTGTTTACTGTTGGCTTGTTACTCAAAGAACCACAAAGATCATTCTCACCGACAATGACAGGACAAGCCAGCAGAATATAAAATGAGTACAAACTCCACTCTCTTCTAGTACTGATGTTACCTAGTTTGGTAACGAAATGTCTGCAAGAAAACTATCAAGCTCAGAGAGTACCAAGACCCAAGAGGTCAATGTTCTCTTCTATTGGAGAATAAATTGTAAAAGGAGGTTCTTATATATATATTTATATATATATATATACATATATAAAAGCCCAGAGTGTTCATTTGACGAGAAAGGCAGGGATTTCATCAAGCAGGCAAACAAATGAATAAAAATATACTGGTTTTTTTTTTAAAACACAATGTACAGTTTGGAGAGAACTTTTTTAAAAAAAATCTTTAAAGAGAAAAGGTATAGGCAAAAGTTATTCTTTACAACAAGGTTTTATTTTCTTTGACCAAAAATAAAAACAAACAAAAACAAAAAACCAAAATAACAGAAAAGAAACCATTAAAAGTTATACAGATCTGTAATTTTCTTTTCTTTCTTTGTGGGTTTTTTTTGGGACCCAAACAAGCATTTATGTTACAATATATCTCCCATGTCAACTTGTAATGCTGAAAGCATCATCACCTGGCTTTGGATGTGGTGCTCTGCTACCACTGCAGAGAACCGATGCCCTTGCTGCTTCTACTATGAAGTGAGGACCCAGAAGCTTCACAGGAGTAAACCACATGAAGAGATACCTGGCTTAACGTGTGCCAACTCAGCATCAATGAAAGAGAATCTGCTGGAGCCTCCATTTGGGTTTTGCTGGCCCCGATACCAAATTAAGATAAAATGGCTTTAGGAGCTTACTTGAGGCTTGATATGAATGGCTATTTTGGGCTTCTACATCTGTTTTCATTGACCTCTGCCCATGGATATCAATTGGAGACATTTTAGTTCCCCTCTGCATTTGGACTCCATTGAATTGGGTTTGTCTCCAAATTTATCCAGAAAGACCCTTCTTTTGCATTTCACAGAGCTTAATCAAATTGCCTTCTGTTTGTCCTTTGGAAATACTTCCCTTCCTGTCTGTGCATCTGTTATGTTATTGAGTGACATAGGGTGAAAGCTTCAACCAGGTTTTAAAAGAAGTCCTCTCATTTTCAAAATGTCTTTTTGGAGCACAGTAATTCTTGAGCGGAGAGGCTAACAACAGCAAATAATTTCAAAGTCTTGTTTATGCCAGAAATACATGTGGTATTTAGCCAAATACATGAAACAAAACTTAAATGTACTCTGAAACCGCAACCTCAACTCAGCCTTAATCCTTACGATTGCTTCTTAATATCCAGCCCCAGTTCAACTCTACTAAATGCTGTTGCAGGTTGGGTTACATATTTGTATCTCACTATTTACCCCCAGACTATAAATACTGCAACAAAAAAAAAATTCTCATCAAAACGGATCATTGAGAGGAAGCTAAATTTAATTGATGTAATTTGCATTTTTATGTCAATTTATATCATTTGCATAAGTATAGCTTTTATAATTGTCATTTACATAAATTTGCATCATTTGAGTAATTTCATAATTACCTCAAATATATAAATTGATGTAAGTGATATAAATTACATCTGCTGTTGGATAAGTTTGGAAATGAATGTTTTTGTCCATTGACTAAGAGAGAGATCTGAGCTAAAATTTTATCCACTACATCCTAATGAGGGTTTGTGTTTTATTATTAATCAAATGGGAAGGGAACTCAGATACAGTCCTGTCACGTACCAACAAAACCCCCAACTTTACAATAAGTCGTTTTGTTATGTTAGAGATCACTCGGCAGTCTGATGCAGAAACCTGTCCTTAGGGTTGTTGACATATACAGCTTGCCACTAATCTGCTGTTTTCCAGTTGTTAACTGTACTAAATTTGCAAGAGGTAGTATATCTGTAAGATATATCTATTAAAAAGTTTACTATGAACATCTATAGCTTGTTAATTCAAAGCCAAAATTGTTTTTTTTCCAGATTAGAAACACCCTTTTTTTAAAAAAAAAAGTCAACTAATTGCACTTACACACTTCTGAAAGTCAGTAGCTAAATTTAGTCCACTTGGATGTATGACCAGCCTTTTCCTGGATTGAGTCCATTCAGTTTTTATTAAAAATGGAAATATAAGACTTTCCCTCCTTCTATATAGCATTCTTCATAGATTGTCTCCATGATGCTATTTGCCTGGCTGATATTCTGCAGGTAGAGATGCTGACCCTTTCCCTTCCAAATAATCATGCTGGAATTGTAGGAGGTGAACTGGGAGTAGAAAGGGAAGACGTTAATGCAGTTAGTGGTGCTCACACAAGGACTTGGTCAAAATACGATGGCACGGCAAGAAGATCATTCCACATCCCAAATTTTTAAGTGAAATGAAAATATATAGGAATACTACTTTGTATCCAAAGATGGCGATATCCCACAAATCTCCCAATTACCCTGAACTGTATTAATGTCTATTAGTAGGTAGCTAGTACAGTATTGGAGGGAAAAACTGGAAGAAAAAAAAGGCAAGAATAGATCTCTAAATATATTAGTATTTCAGAAAATGTTACATTTTTTAATAGATGCCTGCCTTCTTCCAAAACTGGAGAGAGCCAAAAACTCATTCTGCCTTGACTTGTTGGCTGTAAAGAGAAATCCATCTTGTTAAAGAGACTGTCTGAAAAGGAAGCAAGCCATAGAGAGCTCTGAGCACATTATTGGTAAGATCTCAAATCTGCCACCATGTGCATATTAAATACAGTATTTGGTTTGTTCTTCCGGCTGGATTCTCCTGCATTAGTACCCAAGCTGCTCTTATGCCTGCAATTCCTGGTGCTGCTCCATAATCTCATCTAGGGAGATAAGCTGCATCCCCAGGGATGAAGTTGGATGCTTCCTGCAGAGTAACCAAAGGCATCTTTCCAAGCCAGGCAAATTAATTCTGAGTCCTGGGCTTATGCCCTTAGAAACACCAGGTGTCTTTTTCTTGATTAAAACTAACAAAGTAAAGCTATTTCCTTACTCCAATATTCATTAAACTGGAATCATACTATACTTTCCACAAATTTATTTGATCTAGCTACCTTTGTTTCTGAAGTTTAGGAGCAGTTCAAGCCTTCATAGAAAACTTTCAGTGATGGACTTAAGAGGGTTTCTCCCCACATCCCACAAAGACAGACAAATTCTAAAAAGGCTTACATAAGCTTCATAGAACCCACTTGTCTGTATCCATAATAATAATAAAAAGAAGTCAGAGTGAGGCAACTTTAAAAGAAGCAGGAAATAAGACTTTTTCCTCCACCATTCTCCTTCCCACTCTAATATGCACAAAATATTTTTTCCCTACAGATTAGCTCTATTATGTATGGAAAATCTAACATATCAGAAAGTGTCCCACATTGAGACTTAAATGCCAATCTTATTTACAAGGTAGGTCAGGTAGGAAAGAGGATCTTCTCAGGTTTATAATGCGAAGAGCTGCATCTCTGCGAAAGATGCAAGGAAGAATTTGCCGATGCACTTGCTTAAAGTGCAGCACAAGGTTCTAGGAGGAAGATCAAGAACGTCTCCCTTTCTTTCTTTTAGCCCAGCTGACCAGGTTTATAAAGTGTTGAGGGTAAAGAGAACAAAATTTTGTTCTTGGAGAACAACATTACTATAATAGTGCCTCTTCTTTACTTAATGCTGATCTCTTTTAGAATATTAATACGAAAATAAATAAAAAATCTTTCAGAACTAAAGCACCTTCAGCAGGCGACTTGAAATGTTGAAGAGATTGTCATTATTTCGTGGATTGGAGATGGCATCAGAGAAGCACTTTTCAAGCTACTTTTCAGGTTCTTTGATCGGCTTTCTAAATTTTCATACTGCCTCAAAAAACCTTATTTGACAAAAGTAATAATGGAATGAAATGGTGATTATGGCATAAATAGAACTATTGCAATGCAAAACATTGTGTGACCACTGCAGGGCAGCAAGCTATCTATTTGCTGCCATCTAGAAATCATTTGTATTTTCGCAACCCAGATACGATGGTCCAAGTTTTAAAATAGGAATGTTATATCAATGTTAACATTTGTCTGCCCATGTGCTTTATGAAGTAATAATAAAATATAAAATAGAGGTAGAAATATTTTGTGAAATTATTTTGAAAATCTGGTATGGTAATTATATATATATATTTGGTATAGAACTTCTGCTGGCTCTTGTAGCTTTCCAAGAAGATGGGCTAAGATTGTGCAAATTTAACAAAAATATCTTCTAATCCTGTCATGCTGTTTATAGCATGTAGTATAAACTATTGTTAATTTTGGTAGGAAAAAAGCTAAATATATACATCGTACTCCATTTTGTAAATCACGTTCATATTTCAGATATAAAACAGACATGGATTTAATTCTATCAAAGAAAATGTCTAAGATCAACTCACACAGTGACAAAACTGAGCCAATTTGGTTTTATTAACCTCCTTTGAGGAATCCTGGGATATTATATTATCTGGTTACAGGAATTTAGACAAGATCCCTGGAACCTTCTATAGAAATTTAATAACAAAACTAATTTTAAGCAGCACAAGTTTTCCCCATTTGAAGTCAGGGCTGGGAATACCCAGGAACACGAGAAAAAGAATATTGCAGATCATCCACATGACTTGGCAACAGAAATGTGGGTCCTTTCCACTCACAGGCAATGACTGTGTATGATGTCCCCCTGCAGTTCAATGCCAGACATACATCCTAGCCTGATGAGACAGTTGTTGATACAGAGCTACAAAAGGGAGGAAGCAGAATGTAGGCTAACTAGGCTAAAGATAGGCTAAGGAGAAGAATTCCCTGATCTTAATAGTGGAGGGGGAAAAATGTATGCTAGTTTAGTCAGCGCCACAAACCAAATAAGAATTCTGTACTTTTTGCCAAATCTGTCTTTTGCCTTTCTATAAGCTAGGATGTCCCACATTCAGCTTGAAAAATGCACCATTGATCCATATTAAGTTTAAAGAGACAGGATATGTTTAAAAACTAGAAGGTCTCAGGTTCCATCCCTGGTAACTCTAGGCAGAATTGGTCAAAGGCCCCACTTGGGAAACCTGGATAGGTTTTACTAGTCAATTCAGAATCAACAGCTTTGCCAATGCATGAAAATGTATAAGAAGCTCTTATGCTCCTCCCCAAAGCAACATTTGAAAAGCACAAACAATACCTATAGCTTCAGCATTTTCTTTTCAAGTGTTATCGGCAAGGAAAGCAAATAAACCTAAATACTCAAAATGAACCTAAACATCTGACTGCTATGAGTAAGCACCAGCAATGCACTAGCAGAGTCATGCCATTATTTCATGCCATACCAGGGCCTTCTGCAGGGGGTGAACAAAAAAAAGAAAGATGGCATCCACAACGAGATCGATTCTCTGCCTGTTTTTTAATGTATCATATCCTGCAGACAACCTGGTGCCACACTGTTAGTTGGGTTCACTGTCCATTACTGTTTCTTGGGACTGCTCTCTAAAAGTGCTTCTTTCTCACTGTTCCTCTCTGGAATTGAATAATGATTGCTAGAGACAGAGGTTAGCAGATTAACTACATTGCAACTCAACAATGAAGAGGAGGCATGGTGGAGAATAAAATCTAGGATAGCAGAAAAGTATTAGGTATCCTTGTACTATGTGAGAATTGATTGGAGGATGTGTTAAATGAAAAAAAATCTCTAGGAAAAAAAGAAAGAAATTAGCACAAAAGTGCTAAAAAAAATAAAAGAAAATTCCCATCAGAAACTCCCAGACATATTTTTAAACTGAAAAACCAAATCAGATTTAGTAACTCCAGAAGTTGTGAGTGCTCCAACACTGGAGGTTTTTAAGAAGAGAGTGGAAACCATTTGTCTGAAATGGTAGAAGTCTCTCTCTCTCTCTCTCTCTCTG